CAAACTCAGCCTCCTGGTCATCCAGGTTGGGGGTTTGAAATGGGATGGAGTCCATTTCTGTAAAACTAAATCACTGCCACCCCGCTGCCATGCGGACAGGTATTTGAGCCAAAGGCTTTGGATGAGGACCCTAATCGTCCTCCTGTCTAGGTCTGGGCGCCCTGGCAGTATCCCAGCCCACATACAACCATGACATTTTCTTCAAACATAAACTTCATCCTGCATCAGCCGTCGCGTAGATTATCAATGGTCGCCTTATCTGCTGCATACAGCAGGGCGGATAAACGAAAACATGCTACTTCTGGCGTCCCCATTCTTTCTTTTCCACCTTTTTCTCTTACTCCCATCCCGACCCCATTACTAACCTTCCTTCTATAATTCCCAGCTTAATTGACAGCAACCGAAGTGCTACTTGAGTAGAACCATCTGCAGCCACCATCCCACCGCAACTATCGGACGCCTATCGACAAAAGTCCCTTATAATGCCACGCTATCCCGTTTCCATGGCGAAATTCAACGTCCGCACTCTAAGACAAACAGGTCAGCAGGCTGCACACGCACGCACCTTGGACACACTGGGTGTTGATGTGTGCTGTGTGTCCGAAACTAGGATTAATGACCCTAACGGGGTTATTGAATTGACTGCACCCGGCTTATCCTCTCGTTAGTGGTTGCACGCATCCGGAGACGCCGATGCCGCACTCATGGGTCAAGCTGGTGTAGGCATCATTCTCAGCTCCAAGGCTGAGGCATCGTTGGCTGATTGGATTCCGGTGAACAGCCGTTTATGTACAGCCCGTTTGACGACATCAGCTAAGGTGGATTCACGAAGCCGTAAAAAACGCTGTTTGGTCGTGATTTCCGCTTATGCTCCCACCGACTGCAGTTCTAATGCTGTCAAGGACACATTCTATCACGAACTGAACGCCCTACTACGCAGTGCTACTAGTTCAGATATTATAGTACTTGCAGGGGATATGAACGCACAAGTAGGGCGCCTGAGCTCTTCAGAAGCTCAGCTGGGTGGTAATTGTGGACTTAACTCCGAACGGACTGACAACGGTGAGCGTCTGCTGCAACTGTGTGCGGAGCACCAGTTGTTTCTTAGTAGCACTGCTTTTAGACACAGGGGGCGCCGAAGTGCCGCTTGGCATCCACCTGTAGCTTGCAAGCGATGGACCCAAATTGACCACATAGCCATAAGTTACAGGTGGCGTGGTTCTATCCTTGATTGCCGGTCGTACTGGAGTACCCGTGTCGACTCTGATCATGCCTTGGTGCGCTGTCGTTTCTCCATGAACTTTACCGGAAGGCGCATCAAGTGTCCTCTGCGATTGGCAACTGAGAAATTGTCTCAGTCCTCGGTCAGGCAAGCCTATCAAGAAGCACTGTATACCGAACTTCCGCTGTCTTGTCATAATGACACTGAACTTCAGTGGAATAGGATCTCGGCCGCTATGCACGACGCAGCAGCATCTGCTTGTGGCACTATCAATCGTCACCGCACCAGTCACTGGATATCCGAGAGGTCGGTGAACCTATAAGAATCCACAAGACACCTCCCGGCTGGCTCTGAACACAATGTGACCAGACGGACTATTAGGCGTGAACTAAAGCAGAGCCTACGTGCTGACAAGGAAGCCTGGTGGACCAGTCGGGCTCAAGAAATGGAGGAGGCAGGAGCAGTAGGCAATTATTGCAAGCTCTTCCATCTAATCCGCACCACTGGTCCCAGAAAACCAGACGTCAGTGAGACAAGCAGAGACAGCGCGGGTGCGCTGATACACAATAAGGAGCGCAGTATGGCCCGCTGGGCGGAACACTTTCAAGATCAGTTCAGCTGGCCCCCCTGCTCCCGGACCTCTTCCCACTCAGGTGATGCACGACGAGCCATGGACGGTTAGTTTAGAGCCTCCGTCGGAGGCCGAGGTCCGAAACGCGATCACAGCCCTCAATCGTTTTCGTGCCGCTGGCCCGGATTCCATCCCACCTGCACTATTTAAGGATGGAGGTGAGGTCCTCTGCAGGGCGCTGACCTCCCTATTCGAACGTGTTTCGAACGACGAGAGTGTGCCGGCTAATTGGCGCGAATCGATTATAGTGGTAATATACAAAAAGGGCAGTCGCACAGACTGTGCTAACCACAGGGGGTATTAGCCTAACGCCAGTTGTGACAAAGTTGCTGGCCTCGATTCTCGTACGTCGCCACACTGCGGAACGGGAATCTCGGATTAGGGAAGAGCAGACCGGTTTTCGCCCAGGACGTGGCTGTATAGACCATATATTTACTTTGCGGCAGGTGCTAGAGCAGCGCCACGCATACTGCAGACCGACAATAGCTGTGTTCGTCGATTTCCTGAGTGCGTTCGATTCAGTCGATCGATCGATCAGGTTCGAATTACTTGCGCGAAAAGGTGTTCGCACGAAGTATGTGAACATCCTTCGTGCTCTATACTCGAGCACTACAGGCCGCGTCAGGGTCTATGGTGTGTTATCGGATAGCTTTTCGACCACAAGTGGCGTTCGTCAGGGTTGTCCGATTTCCCCATTTCTGTTCAATTTCGTTATCATGGAGTGTTCCCTTGGGGTATCTCAGGATGTAGGCGTTGAAGTGCTACCTGGTGAACGGTTAGTTGATCTAGATTATGCGGACGATATCGTCTTGCTTTTCGACAATGTTGGGGCGGCACAATCAAACCTAAATAGCCTATCCAGAGTGGTCCCATTATTCGGTATGCACTTCGCACCTTCAAAGTGCAAAGTGTTGCTGCAGGACCACCAGCCACTTGATGACCCCTTGACGCCTTCTAACGAGGAACTCGAGGTGGTTGATCATTTCACTTATCTTGGCAGCTGCATCAGCAATGACGGGCGCATAGAACCAGACGTGAGCTCACGCATTGCAAAGGCCAGAGCTGCCTTCTTGTATCTAAGGCATCTTTGGCGACAGAACGGAGTTTCCCTTCGTCTGAAAGGCCGTGTATACAAGGCCACAGTGAGAGCCGTTCTGCTCAACGGTAGTGAAACTTGGCCCCTTCGGTCTGAAGATCTGAGACGCCTTCAAGTCTTTGATCATCGTTGTTTGCGAACCATTGCTGGTGTCGGATGGCACCAGCGTGTCCGCAACGATGATTGCGTAGGCGAGTACTAGGTGGTGATAATCATGCTAGCTCCCTAGAACAACAGACAGCACTGAATAAGTTGCTTTGGCTCGGGCACGTGCTAGGCATGCCTGATCACCGCTTACCTAGGAGGGCCTTGTTCAGTCTACCAGGTGTAGGATGGCGCTAGGCTCGAGGTGGACAGAAGTTGACTTGGCAGCGGGAAATGAAGTCACTGACGACCAAACTGGGTGCCGCGTAGGGGCGGGCGTCGTTGCGGCATACACAGCCCGCGCGCGACTGGTGGTGGTCGCGCGGCAGCTAGCGCCGTTTCGGTGTACAGCTGACACATTATTATTATTTTTTTTATTAAACTGGGTGCCATTGGTCCGTCTCGCCTTCCGGGTTGGAGTCCACATGACTCGCCTTGTGCTTGGCTCGAGACTTTACAAGACATGGCTAGCAGTAGACACCAGTGGCGCGTCTGCTGCCGTCTCCTAATCGGATTGTCTGTTTAAAGTGTGTCAGATGCTGAGTTATCTGCGGGGTAGTGGCTGATTATGACGCGTGGCAGTGAAAGCCGCAAGAAAGCTGTCTCGCCGATGCCGCCTTATCTTTCCACGATAGCCAGCTGTTTGTGACGGTATGTTGTCTACACAAGGTGTAGGCGCCTTGACCCGGAATGTTTGCTTAGGGAATTAAGGTTTTCCGGTAAGTCCCCCTTCACTCTCTCTTCCTATTCTTTATTTCATAGGTCCTCATGGTTGTATGGCAGCGAAGCATCAGTTCAAATGGCTGATGTATTGCTGTTGACGATGATGATGATGAAATGATGTGCCTCACTCAGCTACTCCAATGACCTCGTGCCTTGTTCGCAGATGACTTGAAGGTGTGGAGAGTAATCCGCACACCCAATGATTGTGACCAACTTTAGCAGGACCTCAACCGCCTCTCCACGTGATCTGCAGAGGTCAAGCTTCCGATCAACCCAGTCAAGTCGAAATTCATGAGGTTGGGTAAGTGTAAGCACAGTCGAACCCATACTGTGGCTGCTCAACCGTTGCATCCCGCGAATTTCGTGCGCGACCTCGATGTGCTCAAGCTACGACCTAAAGCCCGTGGACATCACGAATAGGCTTTCCCAAAACAGCCTTCGTATGCTTTGAGCGCTCAGACGCAGCTTCAGCAGTTGGTCCGAAGTGATTTGCACTTGGATCTTCATCTCAATGGTACAACTAATGCTAGAGTATGGCACACCCGCGTATCGTCCTATCACTCGGGGAGAGGTAGAAAAGATTGAGCGAGTGCAGCATGTAGGTATCGGGCTGTTTCCCAACTTACGAATTGTGCCGTACGAAGACACGTGTAAGAAATTAAGGATGTATACCCTAGCTTATCCTCGAATGCGGGTTGATCTCATCATGACGCACCGGATATTACAACTGGGAGGTTACCCTATGTTAAGACCGCTGCTTCATCTGCGCACACCAAGCAGCACAAGAGGACACCGGTAGAAGCTCGTCGTAGCGGATTTGAAGCGGGTCGTTCACCAACTCTGTTTCGAACGCAGAGTGGTGAATGTATGGATCGACCTGACGCAGCCCGTAGTTGAGACAGCTAGTGTCGGAATTTAAGTAGTTCCTGGACAAACATTTTGCGGACGCAAAAGATATTGAGTGTAACACAACATAACGGGTCTCTGTCCCTGAGTAATATTAGATGCAGCTACACAGAGTCCAGTTTATTGCTGCTTCCAAACAGTAATCAAAGCTAGACACAACCTATAATGTACAAATATGGATCACCGAATCAACTAACAAACATAAATCATTAAAATTAACGTGTCACACCAAAGTTCCTATAAAACACAAGCTCTAAATTCAGTACAGGTTAACTTACGCCAGCAACCTTCCCAGCAACCGGCATCCCCAAAGGTTTCAGGACGTTGATAGCAGAGTGTGAAGCACCAACGACAAAATCATGAGCTAATGGCGAGGGATCAATAGGTACTTCCAAGGGTAGATGTAGAGTAAGTGAATTTGGCAAGTACAAGCCTTCGAATTGTCTGATGGACATACAGGTTAGTGGGAGATACAGCTACGGGTAGGTAAGAAGGAATCGCTAGATTCAGTGTTTAAAGCAACCTTCTTTGCAACAACGAGTCAGAGACATACATCAAGTGACAAATAAGTAAAATGTTTGGAAGAAGAAACTCATAATATGAGTTAAATCAGCCCGTAGATAAATCCTCATTTCTGGCACAGAAAAGTAAACGTACGTAGTAGTTGGTCATATGCAGTTTCTCAGCCCATATGACCGATATGCAATTGATAACTTAGAAAACCTCGCGCATTTGGCGAATAACTCACAATCCGTCGTTAGGACGCGCAAATCAAACCGCCGGCGTCAGCTTACCTTGACAAAGTTCATTCGTTCATTAAGTCAAGCACACCTTCGCATACACTAAGTAAAACTAATATTTTCTTATCAACACGTTATGCCCCCATTACCGCTGATATATCGTAAAAAACTGTACTGCAGAGTCCGTTTGAATATCTTTTCCATTATTTAACAAACCATTGATGAGAAGCTTTTCAGTCGGTAGTTCACTGTAATAGAGCTTTCACTCCTTAGTACACTTATTTGAGAGCAGATCGGACGCTAGAGATGCGAATTAATTCAGAACCAGATGTTCAGTTCAGTTCAGTTCAGATAGGACTGGAACCATTGGAGGATCCCGTGAGTGTTCCATCTTGAGTGGATCGTTGAGCCAGGAATTGATGCAGTGCTCAGTTATCGATGGAGCTAAAACGAACACCCGTATCGCACCCTGGCCAACCAGTTAATGCCGACGTCTCCTGCCCTAGCAGTCCTTGCGTGCCAGTCACGTGAAGTAAACAAATGATACGAAGAAAAATCGTAGGTACAGAATAAGGAAGTGCACATAAATAAGAAAATAATACCGATGCGTGAAGAAAAGTAGAGAAAAGAAAATCGAAGTACGAAGGTGCGAGTTTCTCAGGAAAATGGAAAGGTTTCATGTTGCCACCCAAGAGCGTCAAGTTGCCGCTCAAGCTCTTAACCGTAGATTCCCTGATAACACTTTCAGGAAGCATGTTCCAGAGGTCGATGACTCTGCGTGACAACCGGATTTCCGCAATAATCCGATCGGACCGCGGTTTGTCCAGCTTCAACGAATGACCGCGTAGAACAGACAACCTAGCGGGACTGAATAGCCAAGATAAATCTGGACTAATCTTCCCGGTTAATATACGGTAGTTTAGAATTAGGTCTCCTCCAAGCCTTCGGTAGTGCATTGCATGCATTCCCAATCTAATTAGACGCTCGGAGTACGTTCGTTCCCGTAATCCCTCGACTAACTAGGTACCACCTCGTAAAACCCTCTCTAGCTCCATTCCGTCCCGGATGAGGCAGGGCGGACAATCTTGGACGCAGTATTCCAGATGAGGCCGAACGAAAGCCGGGAACAGCCTCTTAAAGATGCCGCCCGGCAAGACTCCGAAAGAAAGTCGAATTAACCACAACATGCGGAAACCTCTGCTTTCGGCCTTCTTCCAGTTGTCGCCAGAATGTAAAGCCGATGAGTGTACGACGCCTAGGTCAATCTGGCTACATACACGGCGAGTTCGACCCCACCGACCACCTACTTCGTAGGAGGACAACCTCCTCCCATTCGAAGAACGGAGCACTTTGCTTGCTTTATGGGCAGTAACCATAAAGTAGACCAGCCCCAAAGCTTATCCAATGCTCGCTGAATAGCTTCTGAACCCTAGGAAAATCGACAACGTTCCACAGCTTCAGGTCATCAGGACAAAGCAACCATGGTACCTCAAGCTCCGCGGGTAGGTCATTCACCTAAATAGAGAGCAGCAGCAGTCCAGGGACCGAGCCCTGCGGCACGCCACTGAGGACAGACTGCCTAAACGACAGGCCCTGCCTACCCGTACACACTATACTCAACCCTGCAAGAAGGCAGTCAAACAATGAACGGAGCGGCCAGATACCCCGTAGAAGGACAGCTTTTGCGCGAGCCTCAAATGTGAAACCTTGTCAAATGTCTTCGAATTGTCGACGAAAAGCACGTCCAGCGCGTGGCCGTTATCCACTGCATCCTCCCAATTTTCGCGAGCCAACAGTAGATTCGTCAGGCACGAAAATCCCTGCCGGAATATGTGTTGCACATTGCTAAGTAGAATAAATCTACTCAGATGACTCTCCAATGAATGTCTCACCAGTTGCTCGAGGAGTTTGACTACTACACTCGTCAGACTAACTGGCCTGTAATTTGCAGGCAGACCCTCGTCCCCACTTTTGTAGATGGGACAGATGATAGCTTCCTTCTATTCGGAAGGCAATGCACAGCTGTCAAGCGATTTCTGAAGCACATTAGCGAGTGGTCCACTTAGTTCCGCAACCAACTCATGTAACAGGTTGGGGTGAATCAAATCCAGCCCAGAGGCTTTAAAAGGGTCCAGCCCTTCTAACAGCCTACGAACTTCCGTTTTCACTACAATAAATTCACATATTTCTGGACTCTCCGGAGTCCTACAAACCAGCTCCACGCCTTTCAGCTAGGTTTCCCTTACAAAACTGAGTACACAAGCCTTGCCATAGTCCGCTTGCGCATGAGTACCGTCATCACGCATCAATACTGGAATTGACATGTTCGAACCGCAGCGCCTTTTGACATAAGCGAAGAATCTTTTCGGATTCTTTGAAGCTTGGTCCGCTAACGCTTTCTCGAAATTGAGCCGCATTCCTTAGGTGTTGCTTACGCCTATTTCTGGCCTTACGGTACCTGGCATAAGTATCGATTGACGGAGCATCTCGGTAAGTCCGCTAACATCTAGACATCTTTGTGAGCAGATGCCTGCCAGTGGGATCTATCCAGGGCGGCCTTGCTCGTGCTTCCTTTCGCCTTGTGACTGGGATGAAGGGAGCAGAGGCCTCTGTGAGATAGGACTTAAATTTATCCCAGACAATCTTGACAGTATCATCTTCTGCGATTTCACAATGCTAACCCGAAGCCTTGGCTCTTATGGATTGATAGTCTACATGCCATATGTTCGGACGAGACTCAACAGTACTCTGGTAGCGTCTAGACAGAGTACAACTGAAGAGCAAACAAACATGATCACTGGAACCCATTGGAGGTCCGTAAGTAATATCACCAACAAAAGGACAGCAAATACAAGGTCTAAGATAGATGGTACTTGGACGTCCATGTACCTAGTAAGGAGTTCAACGGACTGATGCAAAGATACCTGGAGCGTAAGTCAAGCAGCTCAGCGCCGAATGTGCCTGACGCTGAGTCGCAAGAAAGGTCTGCCCAGCAAATCTCTGGGAGGTTGAAGTCACAAATCACCAAACACTTAGTTGCGGACTGTGAGCGAATGAGATCAAGTACATATTTGGATACGTTCCCAGGGCTTCTATACACAAATACAACTGTAACCTGAGCCGTGGATGTGCTAATAACAGCCGATAGATTTGCAACAGTTTTGTCTGCCGACTGAAATAAGCAAGTCTCCAAAACGTCTACAGCTTACATAAAGAGCGACGCCTCCTCCCTGTAGGCCAGCAGAGCGATCGCATCGAAATAGTGCGTAGCCAGGTAGACGCACTTCACCATCCGTGAAGTCCTGAGACAGCCACGTTTCAGTGAATGCGAGTATATCGGGATGAGACCTATCTACAAGCGACCTAACTCGTACACCTTTTCCGTAGGCTGCGCACATTACTTAACTCTATTTGAATAAATAAATAAATAAATATTTTATTCTCGACAAAGCGAGACACGCCTTTTGGGCATGATCAGCATATTGCATTACTGTACCTGATAGCAGAATAAGCAGCACCAACAGTGGGAGTAGTAGAGTTGGAGACAGTAGCGTGGACCCATAGAGCCCGAAGGTTGTATGTAGTCTATGTACACAGAATGCGAGAGGTAAAGATAGTATTCAGATCACTTATATGTTATGTTGATGAGGAACTAGTCCGATTAGGTCCCCTAAGCAATGTAGATCAATGAGTGAAGTATGAGGAAACAGGTGAATCGTGGCATGTTACTAATCAGATATGCAGGCGTGTTCGTGCGAGCGCCGATATATGCACAGAAATTGTAAATGTGGTGTCGGTCAACGTGCCAATGTGATGGGGGCGGTGACTTTATTGAGTGGCGGGTCATATCTGCCACGTCGCGGTGTTGTTAAACAGACATTTGTGGCTTTTTGTAGGGAAAACGCTTGCCAGAAGAAGATCCAGCACGTCCTGGAACACTGCCAAATGGTGATATAACATTGGCAAGATTGTTTCCGACCGATTACCCCCGCGGATATTCGCAGTCACGTAACGCCAATTTGCTTCCTATGGCTACATAGTCGCCTTCGGAGTCCAGCGCAAGTGATTGGAGCAGTTGAAGTCGGACGACTCAGGTGACTTGTATTGAGTTGATCAGTTTAATAGGTACTTTAGTGTGTCATGATTATGAAGTGCGGGTTTTTTCTTGTTCCCTATTTAATCCGTGCCCATGGGAGCGTCGCAGGTACGTCTTCAGCGGTTTTCGGTGCAGGTAATGTTATCCTGTAGAACAGGGGCGAGAAGAAAAACGGACCGAACAAACTACCAACAAAATTGAACAGGACTATGTTATTGTATAAATATAAAATTTATGGTAAAGTTGTGCTGGATGAAGGCAAAGGAGTGACCGTATATGTTGTACATCATACCCGTATCCGTAGTTTTGCGTTGTAGCACGAGACCTGATATTTTCCGAATGTGAGATGAAGATGCTGGCCGAAGTGACCTAGCGTACGCAAAAGTTGTCCTGTTTGGGAACCGTGAGTATCAGTCGTAGTTAACCGGTAAATGAGTTGAGGGAATCAGAAAAACGTAGTGAGTGGTTTAATAAGCGTGTAAGATATAAGTTGAGCGATCTGTTGACAATGCTAGAGCTTATCGTTCGAACATGTACGAGAGGCAGTGAAGTTATTAAGCCGGGTTTGAGGATAGAAAATAATAACGCAACTTGTTCAGCAATCGGATGCTAAACAGCTGGGTGAAGGGGTGAGATGGAGTGTCAAATTTGTGACGAGAAT